TCGTTCAGCACAAGAGTCGTCGTGAACGTCCGCATCATTGCATCCAAGTCCTCAGCTAGAACACGTCGACGAGTCTCTCGATCGGCCTGACGAACAGCCTTCACCTCCCCAGCGGAGACAGTGGGAGAACGGGCACCATGAAAATAGCTTGGATGCTGATGGCAGGGCGGGACGACATAACCTTCCTCAGCGGTACCGACCGTCAGATCTACCACGCCCCGGGGCTCCTCGGACCTCTGCCTCTTCGATGCTCCTTGAGACGCAGGAGATTGACTCTCTTGAGGCGAAGACGACGAACTTTGCCCCCCCGGTGTCGCGACCTCCTGTCCGACCAGCTGGCTCACCCTCGTCCTCGGGACCGCGGCATTCCTAGTGGCACGCAACTGCTTCACCCGCTCCTCAACGGAAGACATGTTCGCTGCAAAAACAAAGAAAAGAGTTAGCGACGGTCGAAGCCCCGACCACGGGGAGGAAAACGAACATTCCTACCTAGGTAATCCAGAGCAGCCGCCCCGGTCGCACAACCGAGCAGGGTCTTGGTATTAATCAAACGCTTCTTAGTACGCACATTCCCCTGCGCGTCGAGGATATACCGACCGTCGGGCGTCACCAGCTTCGACGGAGGAAGAGACCGCACAAAGGCGACTATTTTCAAATAGGAGGCCATGTCTTTCTCCTCGAGGGTCTCCGCCCGGACGATATACCTATCCGTTCCTCGGCTGAAATGCTCCGCAGTCCACAGTAGATGTATCTTAGGAAGCCACGCGAGGAACCGCTGGCCATCTACCGTTCGCTCGCCCTCATCGAAGAGAGTGTCTGAGCCCTGCTGCGTGATCGGTTTGACGAGATAGAACCGGTTTTTGAAATCCTTGACGGAGTCACTATACGCTTTGAAAAGTTTGGTCGATTACTTAAAAGAAACCCATCTGTGGCGGCCATTCACCGTCTGTCGCTGTAAGTGGAAGATGCGGAAAAATAGCGGTATCGTCGGCTCCACCGAGAGGTAGAAACACACCACCTCGAAAGCCCGGATGAAAGCCAAGGCGTTAGGGTGCAGTTGGGACGGGGCTAGGCGCAACCAGTCAAAAAGCCCCAGATGAAAGGCAGAGAACGGTAACCGGAGCCGAGCTTCTTTAAAGTAGAACTCATGCATCGGGAACATCCGCCGCCCATATCGCGAGCAGATACGATGATGTTCTTTTGGTCGGTACACCTGCCAGTGTTGTGGCTCCCCTATAGGCGTGTCCTCGACCGTAGCATACACGTCGGACACATCGGCCACAAAACAAGACGGGGTAGAAAGCGGTTCTTCGGCCGCCCATTCCTCGGACGGGGCAATGCGCTCGTCATCAAACTCCGGAATCTCGGGTTCGTTGTCTTCGACCATTATCCCCGGTACCAGAGCCGACATCTACACCTGAAAAGCAGAGGACAACGGTGAATTCGATAGCCAGGATCAAATCCACCCTTCCACCGCAGGTCAAGTGAAAGGGCGACAAAGGCCGGAAAACGACGAGCAAACGCTCGCTCCCCGTCTACCCTCCTCGGGGCGTCTAAAGCCGACCCTCCATCCCTCCTCGGGACGGTCACCGGAAAAAGCGCGCCTCCCCGGGGTACCCACCGGAAAAGGCACTTGTCCCCGGGGCATTCATCGGAGAAAGTCCCCGTCCTCGGGACATTCATCGGAATCAGCCGATTCTCCCCGGGGCACTCATCAGAAAATTCATCAGAGGCGGCGGGCCTCGCGCCCCTCCTCGGGGCATTCATCATGCCCCGACCACACGTTCCAATTAAACGACGGAAATAAAAAGGGAAAGAAATGAGGACTCACTTGTAATGGCGGCGAACGGAGCAAGGGATCAAACGATACGGCGGCGATCGACGGCAGGCGGCGGACGGGCAGTGATGACAGAGCTTCGTAGACACAACGGCAGATTGAAAAGTAATAAAATGAGCGGGGACCCCCGTATTTATAACCCGGCGCGCGATTCGAAGCGACGCTAGGCTCATTAATGACATAGGGTAGCCGCCCCTACGACCGCTAAACACACGACACGTGGCGGCAACCTGACAGTCGCACCCTTTCGCCTGCTTTCACCCCGTCACCACCGACACGTGGGTAGCCGTTCCACCGTGCACGAATCCCGACGAACCTCCCGCTATGTTACCTCTTCCCCGACACAGCGACCTTAAGTCCTCGCTCTCTCCCCAGAGCTTCGACTTGGGGGGCTCTTGTTCCGGCCTGGGCCCAACCTCGGCAGACCCAATATCACGTACGGCCCAACAGGCGAATCGGACACTCCGGGCACGTGCGTCCCACGAGACGAGCAGAGGATGCCGCCGAGGACGAGCAGCGCTTCCAACAGCATCTCGTCGTCCCATTTTACCAGCCGAACAGAATCGACCCCGGCGCATCAAAGCACGGCCTTGGTTCCTCCCCTCCGCGGGGAGAACAACGCGCTCCAGGGGACCTCCCGAGCTCCCCTCTGCGGGGAGAACAACGTGCCCGGCGCACGTTCTCCACGTGCTCCCCTCCGCAGGGACACGTCATCAACCAACTGTCCACCTCCGAAAGAGCAGGTCAAATCCACTTTCCGGAGATCAAGGAGCAGTTGGACTAGGGCGAAGACCACGTCCTGCTCTTCACTACGCCACGTAAACCCTAGCAGTCACCTAGGTTGGACCTAGCAATCCAGCCCAACGTAAGTGACCGTTGGCCCAGCGCTGGGGTCTCTCTATAAATACCCTCTTCCTCAAGAGGGTCAGGTAACTCTCATCTTACCCCTTTTTCTGTACTTTTGCTCCCGCTCTGCCCAATTTCTTACTTTGGCATCGGAGTGTCTTGCAGGTACACCCCCCTCCTCCTTCTCATCTCCGGTGAACAGGTAGCAGCCCAACAGCGTGTGGCCAGACCGTGATCCCCTCCTGATCAGGTCAGATCAAAAATATTGACCCGTAGAAAACTATTTCCAAGATAATAAGTATATGGGGATGAATGGTCAGTTTATATGAATATATAGGTTTCTCCTCTCATCTTTCTATTGTGTGGGTAGTACTAGTTACTCTTTCTATTGTCTGGGCAGTTACGTGATGTAAATTTTTTTAGTAAGTGTAAAATTATTTGAAGGGCATTTTTGGAAGAAAAGTAGGTTAGTTTAAATTTTTCTTTTCTCCTTTATCTATTGTTATATATAATAAGATATTATTTTTTTGATTTCATTTTGATTTTTAAGTGAAAAACTGTATATTTAAAGAGTTATTAATTGTGTAAATATGAGATAGTAGTTATTTATTTTAAATAGTATAATCATTTTCCACTTACCATCTTTAATTATTTTTTAAAAATATTCATAATAAATAAAAAATAAAATAGACCACACCATGGCATGTAAACTTTTTAACATGTCGATACATTCTTTGTAAAATTTCTTCACAACTTATTAATATGTGAAACATAAAAATAAGTTGAGTATTTTTTTAGTATCATTTAATATTTATGAATGACACAAATTTGTCCCATAAAATATTTAAATAAAATTATATATTAAAAAATAAATTAGTATAATGATTAAATATAAGAGAGGAAGGGTAAGCAACGATATTAATAATAATATGATTAAAAAAATATTGAAACTTGTATTATATAAATAAAATGTCTAAATTTTTTAACAAATTTATGTTATTCAATATTTGAATCAGTAATAAAGTTAATCCCGTTTATAACTGATCTGACCAGATCATAAGGGAATCAGTGACCTGCCACGCGTAGTTGATCTGCTAGTTGTTTACCGAAAGTATGGAGGAGGATGGAGAGTACTTGTAAAACACTTTGATGCCAAAGTGACGGGCAGAGCGTGAGCAAGTACATAGAGATAATAAAATAGTTAAGTTACCTGACCCTCTAGTGGAAGAGGGTATTTATAGTGAGCCTCCAGCGCAGGGCCAACGGTTACCTTGCTTTGGGCTGGGCTGTTAGGCCCAATGTTGGTAACTACTAGGGCTAATGTGATGTCGTGAAGACCAGCACGTGGTCTTCGCCCTAGGATAACAGTTCCGCACTATCCGGGAGGAGGAAGACCGAATCTCCAGGACGTGGGTGGTTACTTTATGACGTGTCCCTACGTGAGAGGAGGATAGAGGAGCTTCCCGGGCGGACTGGAATCTGCCCGACGTTGGGGAAGAAAGAGGTTGGCCGGTCAGCTATGAGGGTCCTGTCCGACGGCTGTTGGCCTGTGGCCGGTGGGGGAAGATATTGTGTCATCCTCTGCACGTCCGTGAGGTCCTGTTGGGCCTAAATCTAGTGGGGTTTGGGTCTGCTCGACTGTGCGCTAAGCGTCGGCCCAGTCCAGAACAATAACAATAGTATTTGCTTTTGTATATAAAAATATTTTAATCAACAATATATTTTTTCCCGTATATAAATATTATTTTTGTTTTGACATTATTTATAAATATATTTGAGTCAATAGTAAAGTTGTTCCCGTTTATAAAAATATTTAAATCAAAATATTATTTTTGTTGACAATATTTATAAAAATATTTGATCAATAGTAAAGTTGTTATCGTTTATAACAATAGTATTTTTTCCCCTATATAAAAACATTTTAATCAACAATATATTTTTTTCTCGTATATAAATATTAATTTTCTTTTGACACTATTTGTAAAAAAATTGAATCAATAGTAAAGTTTTTCATGTATATAAAAATATTTGAATCAAAAGTAAAATTGTGTCGGTTTATAACAATAGTTTTTTTTTGTATATAAAATTATATGAATTAACAATGTATTTTCTCGTATATAAATATTATTTTTGTTTTGACATTATTTATAAAAATATTTGAATTAATATTAAAGTAGTTCCCGTATATATAAATATTTAATATAGAAATCACCTATTTATATTTATTTATTTTTTGAATCAAGGAAGATATATTAATTCAAAAACAGTCAGTACAAAAGGTGATCCAAAAAGATCCAACCTCCCAAAAAGACAAAGCTTACATCATTAAACTAACTAGGTGTTTTCTAATTCTAAGATTTTGCCATCCCCTATATATCACGTTATCTATGATGTTAGTACCCAAGGTTGTATTATCTACATTGTTGCCAAAAGTAATGCTATTACGATATCTCCAGATGGTGTAGTGTATGGTTTCTGCTACTACCATTTTCAACACAGCCACCCTCCAACCTTTTCCTTTTGTCATGTTATTGATCCAAGTCAACTCTGTCTCCCACGGTTGCGGTTCATGATCAATGTTAAACCAATGAAGCACCTCCTTCCAAATGTATCCAGTTTGTTTACAGCAGAAAAATAGGTGGTTCATTGTCTCTTCCTCGGTGTTACACAGCCTGCAAATGCCGTCTTGAATCATGCCAAAGCGCTTTAACCTATCCTTGGTCGGCAGCTTACCGTGACAAGCTTGCCATAAGCAAAATACTGCTCGCGGTCGGCTCTTATTGGATCTAATCAACTTCCTTCAAGGCACTCTTGTGCCATCATCATTCAGCACTTTGTAAAATATCGACGCTCTAAACTTGTGAGTGATCAGAAGCTGATCCCACTCATTCCGTATTAAGGCTATGGTATCCCTCTGTTTCAGAATGCCGCGTATAATCCACGAGTTGTGTTTTTTGATGGTATAGTCCATCACGTGTTTCCCTTTCAAGTAATGTATGTGGATCCATTTCACCCAAAGGGAGTCGGATTTGCTACAAAGATTCCAAAGACATTTCAAGAGGAGGACATTGTTCCAAACCTGAAGATTTAGGAGGTTCATCCCACCTTGAGCAACAGGGTAGCAGGTTTGTTTCCACGCCACAGGGCATTTTCTACTCACCGTGTCCTTACCGGTCCAGATGAAACTACGACAGATGGATTCAATTTTTTTGATCACCATTTTTAGCATGGGAAGGCAATGCAGCCAGTACTGCACCATAGCGGAAGCAATACTTTTCACCAATTGAATCCTCCCTGCGTAACTTAGAAGTTTGGATGACCAATGCCGAATACGAGCAATAATTCTATCCACCAAGGGCATGTAATGGTGGATGGAAAGTTTTCTGTCAGACAGTGGTATGCCTAAGTATTTGAAAGGGAGTGTTCCTTCGTTAAAACCCGACAGATCTTGCATAATTTTCCTCTTTCCAGGGTCCAGGCCCCCAAGATAAATTCTGCATTTGGTAGGATTAACAATCAGTCCAGTGGAATTGCAGAATTCCTTGAACACGCGAAGCAGCATCTGTAAAGAGACAGCATCACCCCTGCAGAACAACAGAACATCATTCGCGAAAGTGAGGTTAGTGATATTCAAGCTCTCGCATTTAGCGTGGTGATTGAAATTAGGATCAGTTTTCATCTTTATCAACATCCTGTTCAGGTACTCCATAATTAAGACAAACAACATAGGTGATAGAGGATCACCCCGTCGAATACCTCTTTTGGCCTGCAGCAAATTAGAGTAGTCGCCCATGATGTTAAATCTGTAAGAGACACTGGTGATGCCTAGCATAATCCAATGGATGAATTTTTTAGGGGATCCCATTTCCTTCATGATGCATTCCAAAGCCTTCCAATCAAGCATATCATAAGCCTTTTGCAATTCTAATTGTATCATAATTCGAGGGGTGCCTCCTTTTCTGGTGTAACCTTTAAGCAATTCAGTAGCAAACATAATGTGATTATGGATATTTTGACCTGGCACGAAAGCAGCTTGATTTTGGTTTACCACACTAGAAATTACAGCTCCTAATCTGTTTGTAAGGATCTTGGAAATAATCTTGTAGAAGGTGGTGCAGGCTGCTATAGGCCTATAGTCTTTGAGCTCACAAGCATTATGGCTTTTTGGTATCAAGGATACAATAGCATTGTTGAATGCCTTGTAAATGTTTCCAGTTTCAAAGTATTCATCAATAGCTACTAGCACATCAGTTTTAATAATAGACCAACTGTGTTTGAAAAACTTGGCTCCATAACCGTCTAAACCTGGTGCTTTGACATCTCCAATCCCTTTAAGGGCTTTTATTACCTCAGTTTCTGATATGGGTCTGATGATGTACTCCCTTTGATCCATGTCAAGTTGTTTCCCCATCCTCATGGCCTCTATGTTGATATGGTTGATGTTCTCAGCAGCTTTACCCATCAGGTTGTTGTAGAAATTAAGCACTTCATCTGCAATATCAGCTCTGTTTTTTACCTGATCTCCATCACTTTTCTTCAGATTTCTAAGACTATTGGATTGATGCTTTCCTTTGATAGTAGCATAGAAGTATTGATTGTTACCATCACCCTTTCTAGTCCAGTCAATCTTTGCTCTTTGTTGCAGAGTCTTCCACTCCATTTCATTAAGGGATATCACTTCCTCAGTTAGCTTTTTTGTTTGCTCAATCAAGGTGTTATTCCTTCTGTCATTTCTCAACATATCCTGAGTTTCCTTTAACTTGGTTCTAGCAGAAACCAGTTTAGTCTTGATGTCATGTAGGGGTTTGCTGAATTGATTTAATTCATGCTTCAATCTTTTGAGTTTGTGCCAAAGTACAAACATTGGACTACCCCTGATTTGGACATCCCAATTCTTCTGCACCAGAGTATCGTAGCCAGGCAACTCAATCAAGCAGTTATTGAATTTAAATTGTCTGGATGGTTTTCTATGATCTTGGTTAGATTACAAGCACAACATGGCATGATCAGAAATATTGGGGGGAAGGATCTTAAGAGTGGTTTCCAAATTGGATAAAAACCAGTCAGTGTTGCCAAGAACTCTATCAATCCTACAATAAATGGGATCTGCTGCTTGTTTATTGAACCAAGTGAAGTGGTCTCCAATGCTGTCCATCTCACAAAGACCTGTGTTCTCCATCATCTTAGTTAGGTCTATATACTCTCTTTTAGTCACCTGGTTTCCACCCATTCTGTCATGAGAATTGATTACATTATTGTAATCCTCAACAACACACCAAGGGCCATGAATGCTGCCATGAATATGTTCTATTTCAGTCCATAATATTTTCCTTTGGTGCAGCTGATTATGAGCATAAACAGCAGTTAACCAGTGTTTGAAAACTCCATATTTGTTATAGATGCCACAGTGGATACATTGGCTGCTACTACGAATGAAATTCACATTTACCCTGTTACTATCCCAGTGAATCCATATTCTCCCTTTGGAGTGGTCTTTGTAGTTGTCAATGTGGTTCTCATATATCATCAGCTTCTCACGAATGAGTTTGGCTTTAGTTTCTTTAACTTTGGTTTCAATCAGAATAATAATAGCCGGTTTTATCTCTTGGAGACGGGACCGAATCTCACGAATTTTACCTACTTTATTGAGTCCCCTTACATTCCATGAGACTAACATGGTTCAAGGTTTGGATTCACTTGATGGTCATTCTAAACCTCAAGTGCTTCAAACCCATTGTTGCAATTGATGTGGCTGTGTGTTTCAGACATTATGTTTTTGCCTTTCTCACGAACAGCCTTTCACGCTTTTGACCAAGTATCCTTTTCAGCTCCTGATGGCTCTTCTCTTTCTGGTGGGTTGACAGGCATTAAGTTCATTGGAATTTCAGGTGGTTTGGCCTTTGGCTTCCATTGTTGTTTCTTGCCTCTCTCTTCACATTTATGCCCCATTCTTTGACATGTTTCATAAAACAAAGGTCTTCATTCGTATTTCACCGGCTACAATATTATATCACCATCGACATTCCTAATGGATATTTCATCTGTCATAGTTTGTGTAATATCTACCTCAATTAGAAGTCTTGCATATGAGACACGAAGCTTGTTCGCTGTGCATTCATCAGTCATCAATGGTTTACCTATAGCACTTTCAATTTTGCTGAGACTTTTTGCCCCCCATAAGTGCAGAGGCAGTTGAGGCAGTTTGACCCAAATAGGAATTGTTCTTAGCAGATCCTTTTTTAGGTTAAAACCAGTTTGCCATTCTTTCAAAATCATGGGCATGTTCTGAATCGTGTATGGACCTTTCATCATGATTGTTTCCTTGTCTTCATGGGAGCTAAATCTGAGCAGAAAGTAGTCGTCATCATGATAGTACAAATCTGGCATCTTCACGAAGTTCCAAACTCTCTGCATAAAGTTCTTCACCATGTTCATGCTAAGTTCGGCCCCCACAACATAGAGGATTAGGGCATTGTCCCAGAATTGGATTTCCGTTTCGACATCTTCTTGTTCAATCTCGATTTCAATCCCTCCATTGACGATCTTTGGCACTACATATTCGATTGACATTCCTTTAGCAGGGTTTCCACTACGCCAGAAATGACATTTAGCAGCGCATACAAAGACAGCGCTTTTAGAAAAAGCGTTGCTAAAGAGGAATAAAAAAAAAGAAAAAAATTGATAACCAAAGACAGCGCTTTCTCAGAAAGTGCTGCTAAATGGGGGTCCTAAGACAGCGCTTCTAAAAAGCGCTGCTAAAAGGGGGGTCTAAGACAGCCCAAAGACAACGCTTTTTAAAAAGCGCTGCTAAAGGGGGGTCCTAAGGCAGCGCTTCCAAAAAGCGCTGCCAAATGGGGGGTCTAAGACAGCCCAAAGACAGCGCTTTTTAAAAAGCGCTGCTAAAGGGGGGGTCCTAAGGCAGCGCTTCTTGGAAGCGCTGCTGTAGGTATGGTCTACGAGAGCGCTTTTTCCATAAAGCGCTGCTATATGGGTTACATTAGAAGGTCTTTGAGAGCGCTTTTTAAAGCGCTGCTAAAGCTATTAAAAAGCGCTGCTATAGGTTTATTAGAATTAATTTAAAATACCCACCAGAATTTTTATGAGAAACAGAACAGTCATATTACGTTGCTTTCTTTCTTTTTCTCTGGCGAACAAAGAGCGTTGCCCTATAAACCACCGTTGTCGTCCAACCGTCGTCGTCCAACCGTCGCCGTCGCCCTCGTCTGTTGCATTTGCAGCCGTTCACCGTCCTTTTGCTCGTCTGCATTGCATTTCCGCCATTGTTACGGTATTTGAAGTTTTACTCTGGTTTTCTTTTTTACGTATATTTTCACCATTGTTGTTGTAATCTTTAAGACAAACTGAATATGTTTTTATTATTTGAATGCAATCAAGTTAAGTCATTTTCTGTCATCTTGTTGTATGGATATCTACATGTTAAGTCTCTCTATTGCATGTTATATATTTTGTATTTTAATCTACATGTTAAGTCTCTCTGTCATTGTTACGGATATTTTGTATGTTTTAGATTGACAAACAAGAGTTTAGATTGAAACTAATGAATTGCCCTGGGAACTATTTGTTGTTTTTATATATTTTGATTCAATGTACTGATAAATTCAGAACAAGAGTACAATTAGAAACAAGGTGAATAGAACCAATACACTACGATAGTGAGATATTGAAGGTTAGTCG